GTCCCTGTCCCCCCCAGGTGTGTCCCTAACCCCATCCAGGTGTGTCCCCTGTCCCCCAGGTGTTCCCACCCCCTCTCAGGTGTGTTTCCCCCCCCCCAGGAGCTGTACAAGGACCGTCAGAAGTTCTCTGAACAGGTATTCCAGGTGGCCTCGTCCGACCTGGTGCACATGGGGATCAGCGTCGTCAGCTACACCCTCAGGGACATCCGGGATGAGCAGGTGAGGCTTACCTGGGGCACACCTGGGATGCACCTCAGGCACACTGGGGCACACCTGGGATACACTTGGGACAAGATGGAGATTTGTTGATACACCTGGAACACACCTGGAACATGTGGGACACACCTAATACTGAGCTGAAACACACCTGTGGTCAGTGGGGCACACCTGGGCAGGTGGGGCACACCTGGGATACACCTGGGGCAGGTGGGAGACACCAGAGAGACACCTGGGATACACCTGTGGCAGGTGGGTCACACCTGGGGTGCACTTCACATACACCTGGGGCACCTGGAGCACACCTGGGACATGCCTAGGACACCTCGTATACACACCTCTGGCACGTGGGGCACATCTGGCTTATACCTGGGAGACATCTGGAGCAGGTGGGAGATGCATGGGTTACACCTGGGGCAGGTGGGACATACCTGGGACACACCCTGGGCACACCTGAGATACATCTGGGGCAGGTGTTACCTCAGATACACATGGGAGAGGTGGGACACACCTGGGCCAGGTGGGATAGACCTGGGACACACCTGGTCCGGGTGGGATAGACCTGGGCCACACCTGTGCCACACCTGTGCCAGGTGTACTGGTCCTGTGCTCCTCTGGGTGTCCCTGAGGTCACACCTGTCAGTGAGGGGTCCCAGGTGAGTGCCCAGGTGTGATCCAGGTGTGTGCCCTCCCCCAGGAGTACCTGCAGTCTCTGGGGAAGGGTCGCACAGCTCAGGTGCAGCGCGACGCGCGCGTGGGCGAGGCCGAGGCCAAGAGGGACGCGGGGATACGCGTGAGTACCTCACCTGGGCACCTGGGGCACACCTGGCACCACCTGGGCCTCACCTGCGCCATCTATGCCACCCAACCTGGTCCTTCTGTCATCCTCCTGGGTCACCTGGCACACCTGGGGCACACCTGAGCCAGCTCTGGCACACCTGGGCAACACCTGGCACACCTGAGACATCTCTGGCGTGCCTGGGGCACATCTGGGAAATCTCTGTCACCTATCCTGGCTCTTCCATCACCCTTCTGGGTCACTTGGCACACCTGGGCAGCACCTGGGTCACACCTAGCCCCCCCTGAGCCACACCTAGCATCCCCTGGGCCACACCTGGGGCACCTCTGGCACATCTGGGCCACCCCTGTGCCATTTCTGCCATACCTGGGCCACTTCTGGCACCTATTTTGGCACTTCTGGTACCTGTGTTACCTGGCATACCTGGGCCATCTCTGCACCTCCTGCGCCACACCTGGACTGCCCCTGGCATGCCCTGGGCCACACCTGGGTCACCTGGGGCACACCTGGCATCCCCTGGCCCACACCTGGGTTACCCCTACCACCCACCTTGGCCCTCCCATCACCCATGTCCCCTGGGCCACACCTGTCCCTCCCCACCCCCTCCCAGTACTCCCAGTTCGCTGTGCCCGCAGGAGGCTCTGTCCAGGCAGGAACAGGTGTCTGCTGAGCTGCTGAGCGAAGCTGCCACGGCCGAGGCCCAACGAGACTTCCAGGTGAGACAACTCACCTGTGACAGCGACGTGAGCGCCCACCGCGCCCGGGCAGACCTGGCGTACCAGTTGCAGGTACGGGGAGGGACTGGGGGTCACTGGGAGGGGATTGGAGCTTACCAGTCCAGGTTCACGTGGGTGAGGATATACCTGGGTGGACAGGTGGAGGGGATGGAGCTGCCCCTGATCTGCCCAGAGCTCAACTGGGACTCACCTGGGGCACAACTGGATCCCAGTTTGACTCTTCTAACCCTTCTCTAACCCACCTTGGTCACACCTGTGCCCACCTGGATCCTGATGTGACTCCTCTAACCCACCTGGAACTCATCTGGATCCCAGTTTGACTCCTCTATCCCTTCTCTAACCCACCTGGGTGACACCTGGGACTCACCTGTGCCCACCTGGATCCTGATGTGATTCCTCTAAACCCCTTGGGTCACATATGGGACTCTCCTGTGCCCACCTGGATCCTGATGCGACCTCTCTATGCCCCCCTGGGTCACACCTGGAGCTCTCCTGTGCCCACCTGGATCCTGATGTGACCCGTCTATGCCCCCTGGGTCACACCTGGAGCTCACCTGTGCTCTCCTGTGCCCACCTGGATCCTGATGTGATCCCTCTGTGCCCCCTGGGTTACACCTGGAGCTCACCTGTGCCCACCTGTGCCGTGTGCAGGTGGCGCGGTGCCAGCAG